TGTGTTTACTTTTTTAGTTTTGATTTTGAGCAGCAAATTTGGAGTTACATATTGGTGCTCACCAGGAATGCATAGGCAAAATTGTACAAATTTTCACTTGAAAGAATAGTGGCGATCTTGGGATTTTTTTTTGTTCAATTTTCAAACTGTAAATTTAATACACTTCATCTTCAGCATGTTTAGTGCCACTTTTGTAAGTAACCACGCCCCCGTCCAGGCCACGCCCCCGTCCAGGCCACGCCCCTTCCGCTTTTTTCATCACTCGCCATTGCCATGTATGATTGTGACATGTTTCAGTGTCCCCGACTTTTGGTTCAACAGATGTTGCAGGCGTGACGGTGTGTCCCCCCGTGGCCTTGGACGTTGGTGTGAGTCTCTTGTGTCGCCTCTTCGAACTGTGGAAGCAGGTACCAGCAGGCGTCGTCGCTCTGACAGAGTGGCTGCTGGGAGAAGAAGAAGGCAACGAGAAGGCATGTGAAGATGATGCCTCCAGTCTGGTAAAACAAAAAAAAAATTATAATAATAATTTCTTTATCATTTTCGTGGGAATGTCTCCACCAAGTAGTACAGTAGTTGATTGGATTGAAGAGCTTGTTCAGAGCAGCTCAGCCCCTCCCTTCACTCTTTTGATTTTAGTGTCTGCAGATTCCCTGCCTCATTTGTCCCTGTTCTGCCTTTTGGCTTGTTCTGCACCTTTGTGCATGTGACTAAAGACACAAATATGTGCGACTGTTTGTCAATATGCGCTGGACGTGTTAAAAACCAGTGGAGGTTGCTCATGTCATCGTGTTCACGGACCAATTTGTTTTGATTGAATAGGATGAAGAGGATTTCCTGTTTGAAAAGGGCAACCTTAACCTGTGGGCCGAGCCAGTCCAGTGGGTGACGCTGCTTCACAGACACCTCATTTCCCTCATTCTTAGCTCCCAGCAGACTAGAGACTCAGGACGTACCGACCAGGAGCAGGCTCACCAAATTGACACATTGGCCTTCAAGGCCCGAGCCAAACTGGTGAGCTCCAATCAAGCCCTGGATTCCCTCCCAGTCCTGCCCCAGTTCTCCTGCCCCATGGAACACGCCCGACTGGTACTGCAGCAGCAGAGGGCCACTCTGGCTCTGGATGTGCTGGACACCCTGAAAGGAGAAATTGAATAATATTGCAACGTTGGAAAAATCGGGAGACATTTTCTGGTGTGATATGAAAGTGACACCTCACAAAGTGTTTTTAATCATCTTATTTTTATCATCTGCTTTCCTCTTCTTTATTTTTATTTTTTGCCTGTTGTTAGCTGATGTCTGAAATTGACCATTTTGAGAGATACATTTGGAGCGGCTTCCACTCAAGTCACACATTGCAAGTCTACTTTGACTGACTTGACTTCCCTCGTGTTTAATAATCCATCCAATTGGACTTTGTTCTGTCCTTCCCTTACATAATGTAGAGGACAGCACAATAGACGATACTGTCTGTGTACATGTGTGCCCGTGTATCTTCACGGTGGCCGCATACACATTAACCCTTCTCCCTCCCTGGTATCCATGTTCCTTGTTACGGTAAACCTGACGTAATGTTTTGGAACTGCTCAACACGCCCCAATAAAAAGAGAGCTGTCTGATTTGGAGCGGTTCCTGTGAACAAGAACACATTCAATGGATTTCTCAAGAACTTCACCATGACTGTCCTTTAATTAAACTGTTTATCTCGACTGCAGAGAGTAAATGGGGCAAATGGTCCTGGAGCAGCTTGGAGCCTATTTTTAGGGTGCTTATAGTAGATTCCAAACTCTTATGTCATTTTTTTTCCCCTGCCTGCTTTCTCTTTCCTTCACCTCTCTCCCTTCATCAACTCTTGAGAGAATATTAAATCATGTCAGAGACTGAAAAATAACTGGATATATTTTTAGATCCTATTTTGCAATTATGGTCCTAAATTAAAAGGCTATAATGGTTACTGGTGTTGCAGAAACCAGTAATTTCTGGTAGCGCGCTGTGCATTTTACACCCAGTCGTATCTATTCCCTACCAACTTAGAGAGGTTCCTCTGTGTTTTGTGAAATGGACATTTCAAGGGATCATTCAGTAATTCATCTTCTAAGCGTGATGGCTTTGGAACCGGAGGGTCACAGTTCGAGTGGCAACTATCGAAGTTCGAGAGGTGCTGTTTGCTTCCTGACTACCGTAGTGGTTCTGAACTGCTCCAGATGATATGGTATATTGCGTTTTTGGATAGAATTGGTCCCTAATGAAGACCCAGGTACCAAATGCACAGCCAGCTGTCACAGTAGGGCCACATCATGTTGAGACATGAGGCAGATTATTGCTGTCTTCATGCTGAACAAGATCCTATTTGAGTTTAACAACACACGCACACGCACTAAAAATAGTGTCGTGGTTTGTCGCCGTGCAATATCTTGCTCAGCAGGGGGCGCACTGGTTTCTTTGATGACAGTTCCCAACACGCTCTCCAGGGGGCAGTGTTACACTGTTGTTTCACTTCGAAACCACATTCCTTCACTCTTGTGCTCCCAGACTCTGAAAAACAAGTTTGAAGAAGGGAGACTGCTGGGGGGGAAGGGGAGTTCTTAACCACAGTCGTTCTTTTATTTTTACTGAACTGTCGGAATCACAGATGCCCGTACTACATTTTAGTATTAAAAGTTACTGTGCGGAAAAATACAAAAGTTGGTCTTGTCGTTAGTTCTGACGGTCAAATTCGCCCATAGAATGAAACAGGCTGCCGTTACCCTCTTTCGTGGATTATGCAACGGGTAAATGCTAAAAATTGCCCTGCACTCTGCCTGGACTCCCTCCGTTCATACTTGCGGTCTCACCCTATCCACAGGGAAAGAGCGCAAGGGTGAGGCAGTTTCCTTCCATTACAAATGCATGCGCATGCTTCCAAATCAAGTGGGAGGGGGGGAGCTGCATTTATGCTGGTTAAAACCCCACAGGTTTGCAGGAAGGCTGTATGTGTGAGGGTACATTTCCTATAATCCCGATCGTAGCTCCCTAGAATTAAGGAGGAAGATGTGGTGGTTTCAATTGAAGTCCAATCTCCCTTAATTTGGATGTGGCGTGTGTTTGAAACAGCAAAACAAAACAAAATAAAAAAAAAAAACAAAACTTGAGGGTTGTGGTGATGGACGGTGAAAGGGGAGTGGCTTTGGGGTTGAATTTCAAGGCGTGGTGTCAAAGAATAGGCGACCAACCGGTGAATGGATGTTTTTTCAAACGAGAAGACGGAAAAGAGGAGGTGGCTCAGGCCAAAGTTTTCTACGACTTAGCTCACGTCGCCCCTCCCCGGCCACCGGCAGGCATTTATAGTCCGCAAAAAGGGGCTTGAGCCCGCAGTGAAGTACTTTTGGCTCAACGCTTCTTCAGTGGAAGGAATCACATCCATCTACTACTCAACAACACACAAAAAAAAAAAAATCCCCATTCTCGTTTGCCTTCGTCGGGTATAAAGTCCGCCGGTTGTTTTTAAGCAACTTTCCAGATCATTTCCCCTCAACCAAAAAGCAGTCGTGGCACAAACCAGCGCTCGTCGCAGTGCAGCCTGCTCGTTCCTCCATGAAAGAAGGAGTGCACCAGCAAATTTGGGGAAACGACGACATGTCTGCGACCGTCTTGTCCGCCTTCTACGACATGGACATTCTTTACAAGGTACGGCTGCTCGCTTGATTTGAGATGAATGCATATCGCAACAAGTTGCAACCCAATGCCATGTGAGTGGAGTGCATCGCTAACATGTCGGCCGTTCTCTCCCGCAGCAGGATAAAAGCACGAACATGAACGCCCTTCACATCAACAGCATGCTGGACAAGAAGGCGGTCGGAGCCCCGGTTACCTCTGCGGGCTCCTGCGGCCCCTTCACACCGGGATTTTTCCGTCGAAACTCCACCAGCAACGTGGAGGCGATGAACAACGGCAACAAGTACACCATGAGCTCCTCTTACAGCAGCCTGAAGGAGAACACGCCGAGCGGAACGACCACTCTCATGAACAAGGAAAACAAGTTCCGCGACCGCGCGTACAGCGAGAGCGGAGAGCGGGCCGTGCTGCAGCAGAAGGCCGGCTCTCAGATCAACTCCACCCGCTACAAGACCGAGTTGTGTCGACCCTTCGAGGAGAACGGCTCGTGCAAGTACGGCGAGAAGTGTCAGTTCGCCCACGGCTACCACGAGCTCAGGAGCTTGTCCCGCCACCCCAAGTACAAAACGGAGCCGTGCCGCACCTTCCAC